TATTTTGCTCTCATAACTTTTATAGGTTTTCTATTCACGAGCACCCCAACTTTCAACTTTCAAGACCCTCAATCACGCTCACTCTTTTTTTATGGCTTTTTTTTTTTTTTTAAATTGCAAAGCTCACGAATTGAAAACTTATAAAAATAGTTTACTTAAAATTTGTTTAAAAGTCATTTTAAAATTTAATCTTTGATTTTTTAATTATTTTTTAATTTTATGTGGGAATTTTTTTTAAAATAAAATAAAATATTTTAATTTTACAGAGCACTCTTGAGGATCCACACTAACAAATAATAATTATAAAGGTTTTTCTAAAAACACATGATAAAAAAATATTTATCTTAAAATATGTATAAATTAATCCGAGTAACTTGATTATTAAGTAAAAAGAATATGCATGATATGATTTAGGTTTTTAGCTCATTAAAAAGAAAATTACTATTAATTTAATAATTAAAAAAAAAAAAAAAAAACAACTATGGAATTTGAGGAATTTGCTTGGAAATTGAGCGAAATCTGAGATAGAAGGATACCGTTAAAGATGAGAAATATGTGAAGAAGTAATGTATATATATACGATCAAGTACACCCATTGGGTCAAGGGTTTCATTATCTTTATTAATAAATGATAGCATAAAACAATGACATGTTGTATTTTCCGTACACGTTGTATGTCCCAGTCAGGATATTTGGAAACTGATGAGAACGAACAATATGGAAGTGGAAGTTTTATATTCGAAGTCATTGGTCTTCCGGCAAATAATAAAGAAAGTTAGGTATGTCGTATCATATTTTTTTTTAACATACTTTGCTGTGTTGACTTGAAACATAAGACCAATATTAAGAGAAAGTAATTGACATGGATACCTCATTTCCACCATCTTGTCTAAACTTTACATTGCTTTATAATTAACATAAGAAACAGGGAAAATTCATGTTAAACTTTTCAAGAAAATTCTTAAGCAACCCCACCTGTAGGGACTTAGCTAAACTTCTGGGTAAGGGGGCGAAGTTTTAAAATTTCT